CATACCCTGGTGATAAGGAGAAGCAGGCATGGGAGGGCAGTGCAGTAACTGACCTAGCTGGATACTGCAGCCACACTTGCAGCTCTCTGCCCTTTGGGCTGGTTTCCTTCTCTATGGCCTGGGAGGGGTGCCAAGATCAGGGCTGAAGTGCAGGATCGGTGGTGACCCAAGCTTCCTTTTTTTTTTTTTTTTGCCACACCGCACAGCATGTGGGATCTTAGTTCCCCGACCAGGGATCGAACCCGTGCCCCTGCGTTGGAAGCGCAGAGACTTAACCACTGGACAGCCAGGGAGGTCAAGACCCAAGCTTCCTGTGTGCTCTTTCTAGATTATGCATGTTCTGGTTGAGGTCAGGGGTTTCTGAGAGGGGAAGAAAGAAGACATGGTGGGTGTTCATGGCTTATCCCCTGCCCTGTCGTTCATCTACTACTGCTTGCTTCCTGATCTTCAGACTGTGCTTCAGGACCCGGCTCCCCGTGTGGACTGTGGGCAAAACCTAAGAATGGCAGGTCCCCAGCCAGAGGCCTTCCCTGCAGCTCAGTCTCCCAGCCAAGGCTGAGAGCCAAATAAGAATCACCCACACTTGATTTGTAGTTTGGTGGACATGGGAGACCGCTCACATCAGGCTTCATTTGCAGAGTGATCTCTGTATGTCCTTCCCTTCTCAGTCAATTTCTCAGGCTGCTGGAGAGATGCCAAGTTCCCATCTGGGGGGCTGGACTTACACTGAGCCTTATGTGAGGAACTGTTGAAAGCAGTCACCTCTCAGATTCAGGAAGATTCCCCCCTCCTTGGGGGAGATCCTGATGTCATAAAGATGGTGCTCAGGGCCAACCCAAAATTTGACGGAGAATGTGATCCTGACCCATGGGCACAGAGCTTTACAAATTTTTTAACCCTCCTGACCATGCTGAGAGCCAGGTATTATTCCTGTTTGTGAGATAAGGAAGCGGCAACTCAGAAAGATTAACTATCCAGATATCACACATCTATAAATTGATCCCACATTGTCTGAATTCGAATGTACGAGGTGGCTTATTGGGCCAGGTGTATTTCCTTTCTACTCAAACTAGACTATACATCAGATTTGGGACTTCCCTGGTGGTGCAGTGGTTAAGAATCCGCCTGCCAACACAGGACACATGGGTTTGAGCCCTGGTCCTGGAAGATCCCACATGCCGCGGAGCAACTAAGCCCATGCACCACAACTACTAAGCCTGCGCTCTAGAGCCCATGAGCCACAACTACTAAGCCCGCATGCCACAACTACTGAAGCCCACGTGCCTAGAGCCCGTGCTCCCCAACAAGAGAAGCCACCACAATGAGAAACCCACGCACCGCAACAAAGAGTAGCCCCTGCTTGCTGTAACTAGAGAAAGCCCGCGTGCAGGAACGAAGACCCAATGCAGCCAAAAATAAATAAGTAAAATAAATAAATTGAAAAAAAAAAGAAAAACAAGAATCGCCTGCCAATGCACAAGACATGGGTTTGCTCCCCGATCCGGGAAGATCCCACATGCCATGGAGCAACTAAGCCCGTGCGCCACAACTACTGAAGCCCACGCACCCTAGAGCCTGCATGCCGCAACTACTGAGCCCGCGCCTAGAGCCCATGCTCTAGGCGCAACAAGAGAAGCCACAGCAATGAGAAGCCCACGCACTGCAACCAAGAGTAGCCCCCGCTCGCGACAACTAGAGAAAGCCCGCATGCAGCAACAAAGACCCAACGCAGCCAAAAATAAACAAAATTAAAAATGATAATAATAAATCAGATCTGTGTTTTTTATGCCCTGTACCATGTGCCCCACCACGCCTATCAAAGTGCCTTACATTAAAAAAAAAAAAAACCTATTAAGTGAATGAATGATTGAATGAATGCATCACCACATCCAGGTGGGGCAAAGAGGAGATCCCTTTACATCTGGAAAGAGTAGAAAGTCTGAGAGTGAAGGGGGTTTAAATGTTTTCTGTTCTGAGGCTTCTCTTGTAAGAGGGCACGTGTCCCTTTTAGGGGGTTCGTTTGTTGAAAACGATAAACATTTATTTAGCTCATGAGTCACTGAGTCTGTGAGGGCCTGGCAGGTTTAGGGTGGCCTTGATTATGTGTCTGCTGGACTCAGCTGGGGGGTTAGCTGGAAGGTCTGATGAGGTTTGGCTTTGGGTTTGTACAGGCTCTTCCATATGGCTGGGACCTTGGCTGAAATGAATCAGTTCACCAGCTCTGCTCCATTTGGTCTCTCATTTTCCAGGAGGCTAGTCTGGTCTTATTCAAATGGAGGTTGCAGGGGTCTAAGAAAGTGGGCAGAAACACACAAGGCCTCTTGAGTCTGAAGCTAGGAAGTAATATAACATCACTTCTGCCTCATTCTATGGACCAAAATAAATCATCAGGCCAGCTTAGATTCAAAGCGTCAGGGAAATGTGTCCACATTTTTTTTTTTTTTTTTGGCTGTACCGCACAGCTTGCAGGATTTTAGTTCCCTGACCAGGGATTGAACCCAGGCCTTCAGCAGTTAAAGCACAGAGTCCTAACCACTGGACCGCCAGGGAATTCCAGAAACGTGTCCACTCTTAAAAGTCATTTTGCAAAAGGCATGCATATAAGGAGGCATGAATAACTGTGGCCATTTTTCTAATCTACCATAGTGGTCTTATGCATATGTAGAGAAAGTCAGTAACTTTCCCCAACAGCTTGCTACTCTGAGATTTTCCTTAAAGAATCAAGACCTTTTTGTCTGTATCATTATAATATTAGAAACAACTTATTACATGGAATGTGATGTTGCTTGCGTGTAATTTTACCCTTCCTTTTCTGCTATCTCTGTGGCTGGCATACTTAACCCCCAGCTCCTCCACCCACAGGGGTCCCTTTTGAGGAAGACAGAGGGCCATACACTCATAAACACACACATCTAAGACGCCCACCTCCTCGTCCTGCCCTGCAGTCCTACTCTGGGATAGGCAAAGTTCCAGTGATCTGCTTCCCATCCCCAGTGACACAATGCTCTGCTGGTGGATTTAGTCGAGGGTGTTCAGAGAAAGAATCTTCGAGTGGGATTAGGGTTGCATTGCAGTTAGTCCTTGCTGCCACATGGTGTCACTGTTGAAACTTTGTCCCGTGTAGCCTCTTGGACACATAATCTGTTCCAGATTCTTAAACAGCTACTGCGGGGATTTAAACTTTGATTCCAGAGTTAACAATTTACACTCATTCAGCCACTGTTTTAAAAAGTTCAATACCTTTAGGTTCTACCTGGATTCCAGAAGACTTCCCGACCTGAGCCACATGCTGTGTCAGAATCCCCCTGGTCCCTAAAAACCCTTAGGGCTGGGATTAAGAATAACTGTAAAAACTACCTAATATGCATTACGCATTTACCAAACTGAGACATTTTCATGGCGTACATAATTTCATTTAAGAGGAGATCACACCTTACGAAAAAGATATGCTACCGAAGACGCTGGATAATTCAAGACTCATATAATTTGACACTATATTTCCCAGAAGAATAATTATAAAAGGTAGGGAAAGGAATCTTCAACTACTGTAGAATATGTTTGCCTTTGTGCTATTTTTTATTTACTGAACACTAAAAGTCTCACGTTTCACAGAGTAGGCGCTCCTAAACTAACTTCTTGGCATGTTATGACAGTTACTTGGGCTTTTTCATAATGTTTTATCATATCTAACTTCCATTACAAAGTTATTGATTTTGGAGAGCGTTTTTTGGCGCTAACGCCACCGCTTAATGAACTCTAAGATAACATCATTCTAGTATACAGAAAATATTTTATTTATTTATTTATTTTAATTTTTTTTTTTTTTTTTTTTTTTGCGGTACGCGGGCCTCTCACTGTTGTGGCCTCTCCCGTTGCGGAGCACAGGCTCCGGACGCGCAGGCTCAGCGGCCATGGCTCACGGGCCCAGGTGTTCTGCGGCATGTGGGATCTTCCCGGACCGGAGCACGAACCCGTGTCCCCTGCTTCGGCAGGTGGACTCTCAACCACTGCGCCACCAGGGAAGCCCTAGGACACCTCTTGCATCCTGACCTGCTTTGGCTACCAGGGACCTCAGGAAGGGGCGTGGTCGTATTTGTTATTTCCTCCCTCAGGACATGGCTGCCTACCAGTCAAGTGACTTCTTCAAACTGAAAGTCCCCTTCAAGTGAACCCAACAAAAATCTAGCATTTGATGTATTCTTCTCATTGCATATTTAACCATGTCTTGACTAGCAACTTAGCACACATGCACACTCATATAGGTGTGTGTAAGTACACACAAACGTACATACGTGCACATGCATGCATACGCTGATACCAGAGTCCCAAATATACACATATATCTGCATTCACACCCACGTACAGAAGCACACGCACACCAGCCGCTGGAAGACTGTGCCAGAGTTTCAGGGCAAACTTTACACCCAGCCCCAGCCCTGAGCCCTGAGGAGGGCCTCCCAAGCAGGAGGAGCAGGGAACACTCCCCCAGGGGAAGGATTTCAGGGCCAGTTGGCACTAATTACAAGCCATGGAATACGCTCGCTCATCCATCATCCCCGAGTGACAGTCTGCCCGCCCAGCCCCCTCCCCCATTCCATTCCATTTCTCCTTGAGTGACCGGGAGATCGGCTGTACAGAGTTAAGGGCACACTCTAGCTCAGCTGTTGGCCTTCTGTTCTTCCCTCTCCACACTCCAGGGGCTCTTGTGAAGCTCCCCACTCCTCTCCCTCGCTTAAGCCCCTTTCACTCAGGCTTTTATCATGTGCCCCACCCTGGGCTTCATTTTCAGTATTTCACTGAAACTTAGCAGTAATCCTGTGACTTGGTATTGTTTTGCCAGATTTGCAAATGAGGAAAAGCAGCCTCTCAGAAATGATTTGCTCAGGGTCACCCAGCTGGGCAGGCTAGCAGTGCTATTCAAACCAGATTCTGCCATTTGCGCAGGATCCCAGCGCATCTCCTACCCTCCCCCACCTCCATGCGGTGACTCCCCAGCTCACCGTCTCAGGTTTGAAGAGCCTGCTTATTGCTGAGTGTTTCCTCTTGGAAACCCCACGAGCACTTCTTCCTCGTCTTCTGTCCTAAATCAACGAAACAGCCAGAGTCTGAAGGAGTCCCACAGTGGGAGACCAAATACCAGTCCCACGGGCCAAGGGTCAGGGGCTGAGCAGAAAATGCATGGCAACAGCCAGGTGGGTGAGACGGGCGAGCAAGGTTCTGGAGGATGGCCTCACCGTGGACACAAGGTGCCTGACTGGTGGCCAGCTCCAGGGTACAGCGTCAGAGCCAACTCCCCTTCTGCTGCCACAGCCAGACTGTCAGCCCTGTATCCCCAACCCCTGCTCATCAAGCTGTGCTTCGTGGGGACTGGGTGTCCTGGGGGTGCCTCTGGGCCCCTTCAGAGGGTGAGGCCAGGGCAGTGTGGGCCTCATTAGAAAAATCTGCTCCCCTGATGAAATAGTTTTGAAAACCTCCTGGAAGGCTGTGACTATGTCTTTTCGTCATTATCCTCAGCTTCAAGCATGGAGCCTGGCTCCTACCGAGTTGGCCCTCAGTACATATTGGCTAAATCAAAACAAAAGAAAACAATGCCTTTCTGAACCCTGTCCACTTATTTAAATGCTGTCATTCTTCTAAGTCCAGTGCAAACCACATCCTCCCCTCCCCACCAGTAGTGTTCTCTACTTTTCCCAGCCAATGTCACCATGTTCATGAGTGTTTGCCTTCTCACTCCAGCTACTCGGAAGCTCTTTGGGAAGCTGATTCAGTCCATGCTTCTCTGATACCATCTATGCCTATAAATGCGTAACAAATGCTTTTGATTCAAAGTGTGCAACGTCCATATTTGGGTAAAGATTTCCTTTTATAATGATGACATTGACGTTATTCTTATTTTCTGTGTCTCCTAACGAAACCACTGGAGGAAGGAATACCAAGGTGCAGCTTCTCATAGTTACTATCAGCTAGGGTTTTGCCTGATAAGTTACTTCTCAATGAGAGAACCACACATTTGTGTTAGGTGGTCTTTCTTCCTTACTGCTGCTCGAGGCCTTTGATCCTTGGGGGTCAAGATTTAGGATTCAGGGGTGGATGGCTTCAGTCAGAACTGGACAATGGTTCTGCACCTTGCCTGTAAGTAAACATCTGGAGTCTAGAATTTTAGTGGCTCTAGGATTCAACAATGTGACAGCCCTGCAGCTCCTCTTATCTATTCAAACAGGCCGCCTAAAGAGAATCTGTACTCTGTAAACGTCCTGAGGCACCTTTTCCCTTTCCCTCTAATTGATATGCAGTATCTATAAAAGTCCCAGATTCATCCACCTTGTTTCCACCTAAGATGTTTAACCTAACAATTATTTACACACAGGAAAAGAAAAAAACAAACAAACCATGAAGCTCCCCACCAAAGGATAATGAAAGAAAGAAGAGGACTAGTCTCTGATACTAAGTAGTCTCATAAGAAGCACCATTCTTGCAGCATTAGCCACAATAGCTCAAGGATGGAAGCAACCTAAACATCCACTGGATGAAGAATATGTGGATCGGACTTCCCTGGTGGCTCAGTGGATAAGAATCCGCCCCCCAATGCAGGGGACATGGGTTCGAGCCCTGGTCCGGGAAAATCCCACATGCCGCAGAACAACTAAGCCCATGCACCACAACTACTGAGCCTGTGCTCTACAGCTCGCGAGCCACAACTCCTGAGCCCGCGTGCCTAGAGCCCGTGCCCTGCAACGAGAGAAGCCACTGCAATGAGAAGCCCGCGCACCGCAACGAAGAGTAGCCCCCGCTCACCACATCTAGAGAAAGCCGGTGCGCAGCAACGAAGACCCAAATGCAGCCAAAAAAAAAAAGAATACGTGGATAAAGAAAATATGGCATATCCATACAAAGGAATATAATTCAGTTTAAAAAAAGGAAGGAAATCCTGCCACATGCTTCAACATGGATGAACCTTGAGGACATTATGCTAAGTGAAATAAGCCAGTCCCAAAAGACAAATGATGTACAAGTCTACTGATGTGATGCATCTAAAGTAGTGGAACTCTTAGAGAGTAGAATGGTGGCTGCCAGGGGCTGGAGGGAGAGGGAACAGGGGCCTTGCTGTTCAACACGTGCAGTGTTTCAGTTTTGCAGGATGAAAAAGTCTTAGAAATCTGTTGCACGATAGTTAACACTTCTGTGCTGTACACGACAAATGGTTAAAGGGTAAATTGTATAGGTTTTTTTACCACAATTTTTTTAAAAAGCACCATTCATGGGCAACAAGTCTGTCCCAGGGATTTCCCAGGAAATCCCACCATAACTGTACACAATGGGCATTGTTTTCTTCACTTCAGAAAGGGAAGAAAGGAGAGGTCCAGAGACATACTTGAACCTGTGGCCATCTGACTCCAGCAGCTATGCTTTCTCACCACTGCACAGATCCCTCCACTCTCACGTGGGATTGGGCTGGTGGCCACCGCGCCACAGATGAGAGCAGTGAGTGGGGTTGTGAGTAGAGAGAAGTTTCTCTGGTTTTGTAAGACTTTCCAGGTCAAACCACCTCTCCCAACGTGTTAACAGTCTCCCCCAATATGTTCCCCACTTCTTCCTTTGTAATAGAACCCCTGAGTTTTAGCTGGTTACCTGGAGGAAATAAAGATTTCCTCCCCTGAAATTAGCTGTGGCCATGTGACTAAGTTCTGGCTAATGGGATGTAAGGAGAAGAATCATAGGTAACTTCTGGAAAGTCTCTTTATTTATTTTTTTTTTATTTTTTTTAAATTTATTTTTGGCTATGCCGTGCAGCATATGAGATCTTAGTTCCCTGACCAGGGATTGAACCCGTGCCCCCTGCAGTGGAAGCTCGGAGTTTTAACCACTGGATGGGCCACCAGGGAAGTCCCTGGAAAGTCTCTTTAAAAGAGGGGCACACCCACGCATTCATTGTAGGAAATTTATAAAAAGTGGACGAAAAAATGATAATGGTCCAAAAATAAATATTCTTAATAATTTAACATAAAAAAAGAAAAAAAAAAGAGGGGCACACCCTTCTTCAGTCCTTCTTCCTGCCTTCTATTGGCTGGAATAAAACATGATGGCTGGAGCTTCAGTGGCCATTATGGGTCATGAGGTAGAAACTAATATTAACTGATAACTCCAACCATAGCACGTTGATACCATCATGTGAGGCCCTTGCACAAAATGAGGGCATCTGATTTATCGATGCTGCATATGTTACATATGAGAGAAATCTGAAGTCATCCCATTGATCCTGACAGGTCTAGTAGGACCTAGATCCTTCAGTGCTTATGGTTGGATGAAATCACAAGATCCATGTGCCCACAAAGAAATGATAGAGGTTCTGAGGACAAACATTTGTAAGTTAGAAGCCGAAATCATTGACTTCTCCCGTTTTCCCATTCATTCATTCATTCATTCAACAAGTAGAAGTTGAGCGCCCACGATGTGCTAGGCACTGTTGTAGCCCTGGAAACATAATGTCAAACAAGACAGACAGAGTCCTTGTCCCCGGAGATCATGCACTTTTATGGACTGATAATATCTTCCTTCTACTTCCCACCGTGTGGTATGAAATGTCCCATGTAGTGGGAGGTGGGGGCGGGGGTGACTGGAACGTGGGAGGAATTTTGAAATGTGGCCAAAGGGGAGCAATTTTCTCTCATCCCAGATTTCCTGAGAAAGTCCATTTTGGTGCCACAGAGGAGACATTCCTATGTCTTGTTCCGGCTTGTGCTGGGGGTGGGGATTGAGTCAGAGCTACAATATGAGATCAATAAACTCACCTAAGAATCCACCACCCGAACCAGTTCTTTAAGTTTCTCCAGGGTCCGGACTCCCCGGTGGCGCAGTGGTTAAGAATCCGCCTGCCAATGCAGGGGACATGGGTTCGAGCCCTGGTCTGGGAAGATCCCACATGCCGCAGAGCAACTAAGCCCGTGTGCCACAACTCCTGAACCCGCGTGCCTAGAATCTGTGCTCCGCAACAAGAGAAACCACCGCAATGAGAAGCCCACGTACCGCAACGAAGAGTAGCCCCTGCTCGCCGCAACTAGAGAAAGCCCGCGCGCAGCAACGAAGACCCAATGCAGCCAAAAAATAAAAATTAAATTAAATTAAAAATTTTTTTTTAAAAAGTCTCTCCAGGGTCCCAAAGGGCTCCAGCTACCAAAAATGATTCCTGGCATTAGTACGGGCAAATGTGGTGAGAAGTTCCCCAGTGGGGAGGTTTTCTAAACCAAAATCATGGCACAAGATCTGAGAAGTTCCCATCCCTGTGGGGTCCACTAAAACTGAAAACTTTTGAAATCAGAACTCTCCCCAAATATAGATCTGGAGCCTCTGGCATTGTATCGTACTAGCTAGGTCCATCACCCTAAAATCCTTTTGCTGCTAGAAATTAATAAATCTTAAATTAATAGTTTGCAACACTATTCACAATAGTCAAGATGTGGAAACAACTGTCCATCGACAATGAATGGATAAAGAAAATGTGGTAAAGGCGTACATGGAATATTATTCAGCCTTAAAAGAGAAGAAAATTCTGCAATATGTGAAAACATGGGTGAACCTTGAAGATATTATGCTAAATGAAATAAGCCCATCTCAGAAAGACAAGTACTGCATGATTCCACTTACATGAGGTTTCCAAAATAGTCAAACTCTTAGAATCAAAGAATGGAACGGTGATTGCCAAGAGCTGGATGGAGAGAGAAATGGAAAATTCCTAATCAACCAGCATAAAGTTTCAATTAGCAAGATGAATAAATCCTAGAGATCTGCCGTACACCATTGTACCTATCGTCAATAATACTGTATTGTACCCTTAAAAATCTGTTAAGAGGGTAGATCTCATGTTAAGTGTTTGTTAAGTATTCTCACCAAAATAAGATAAATTTAAAAAAAACCCTAGCAGTGAACTAACAATTGATCCTGCACTAATCTAGGCATTCTGATTGTTGTTCCTGAGAAATTTTCGTTCCATCTGGGGAGACATAACAAGGAAAAATAAAAAAGCACAATCTCTGCTCTAAGGGAGGCTCTTGGCCTGGTGGGGAATCGGACATAAACTAACCAT